TTTCTTAAATATTCCCTCTCTTCTCCCCTTTGTTTCTTAAATATTCCCTCTCTTCTCCCCTTTGTTTCTTAAATATTCCCTCTCTTCTCCCCTTTGTTTCTTAAATATTCCCTCTCTTCTCCCCTTTGTTTCTTAAATATTCCCTCTCTTCTCCCCTTTGTTTCTTAAATATTCTCTCTCTTCTCCCCTTCGTTTTTTAAATATTCTCTCTCTTCTCCCCCTTCCTTTCTTTTTTAAATATGTTCTCTCTTCCCCCTTCCCTTCCTTTTTATTTTAAATATTCCCTCTCTCTTCCCCTTCCATTTTTTCAAAATATTCCTTCTCTCTTCCCCCTTCCCTTTCTTCTTATTTTATGTTCTTTCTGCCTTTTTTGATATTCCTCTTTTGTTTTTTAAATATCCCCTCCCTTTTCTTTTTTTAAAACATTCCCCTCAGTTTTTAAATATCCTTCTCTTTGTCTTTTTGTAAATATTTCTCCCTCTATTTCTCTCTCAAAATATTCTCACCTTCCCCCTTTTTTAAATATTCCCTCTCTTGTCATCTGTTCCTTTTCTCTTTTAAATATTCCTTCCTTTTTTCTTTTTTTATACCCTCCTCTTTCTTTCTTACACTCCCTGTCCCCACCTTGTTTAAATATTCCCCCTGTCATTTTTTAAAAATATTCTTCCGCCCCCCTCCATATTCCCTCCCATTTTCTTCCTGTCTTTTAATGTTCCCAGTCTAATATAATATTCCCTCTGTTTTTCTTTTAATATTCCCTCCCCTTTCTTCTTGTCTCTTTTAATATTCTCCCCTTCCCTTTTTAACTTTCTCCCTCTTACCCCTTCCCCCTTTTTCAATATTGCCTCTCTTTTCCCCACTTCCACTTCCTGCCTGTCTTTAATATTCCCTCGTATTCCCCCCTCTTTTACTCCTCAACATGGCTGACTGTGTGCATCTGCATCTGGCTTGAAGACTTTTGTGGGGTGTTTTCTTATTGTAGTTTTTTCCCTCACTTTTTCCCACCACCTCCCCCCATTTCCTGCACAAAAAATTCAGACAAACAATAAAAAATCCAAGTAAATTCTTCTCACCCCATTCTACGCATGCATTTTTTAACTTTCTTCTTTCATCCTTTTTTTTCCTATTCCACTCCAAACTGACCCTCTTTCGTATTCCTCTTCTTCTGTCTTCACTCTGAGGCCCTCTCAGGTCTTTTTCCTCTCATGTCTTCCTTTGTGGTAGTTTCCTCTTTCTTCCCTTTGCATTTTCCTTAAATGTATCACTTCCATCTCCGCAATCTTTCCCCCACAAAATGAAAATAAGGATTTTAACTAATTTTGAAAAGAAAAATTCCTCTCTTGTCTTGCCAAGAAGGTTTGCATTGATTTGGAAGAGGCAGGTCACTTTTATGGTCTGCGTGGTGGTGTTTTTTAGGGGGGGTGGTTGTTGGGTGCAGGACAGTGTTCCGATCCACGTGCCCCAGATTCAAGAAGCATGCATCGGTTCACTTAAAGTCATTCAGGAGGTTTCGGGATTCCTTTCCAAGACGACGTGGCGAAAACATTTAGAGAGGGAATCAGGCAAGTGCTCGGAATTTTTGTCGTTTGTAAAGTGCAAGTGTGAGGATGTGGCATGAGCAGGATAGCTCTTTCAAAGAAGTGTGATGTTCTGAGTAGCCTCTGCCTTCATTGGGTTTGCAGCAATTCGGGTGCGAATGGCCTCACTGGACTGTGTACCTGTGAAGGATAAAAGACGGGCGGAAATTTTTTTTGTCATTTGTGGCTGGGAATCCCTGTTCGACTCCCTTGGTAGATTTTTGTCATAGGAAATGTTGCTGCCACCACTGGGGACTGTTCCCTTTTGGCACCTTGCCAACTTAATCTCTTCATGTTTGGACCTTCTTGTTACCTTAGCTGAAATATTATGTAGCTCGTTGGCTCGTTCTGTTGAAGTGAATGGAGGAGGGTGGTTTTGCAGTTGCTGATGTTACGATGTTGTAACCTGGATGTTGGAGAGTTCCCAAAAAGATGTGAAACTTGCCTAAATGGGTTGAATAGAGATGAGGTGAGAGAAAGATGATGTCTCGGAGCAATAATCTTCCAATAATCTTCATGTTGATCCAGTGAGCAACTTCAGGTTTCCCATGCCTCAGCTCTCTAATCTAGTGGTTACTCGATACTCGCCAAAGTCCTGAATTTGTGTGGTGTTCCATGCAAGTGAGGCGTTATCTTAACTGCTCGATCCACCCGTGTGTGTGTTTTTAAGTTTTTGGAGCACTGTTTTGATTTATCTTAGAGCCACGGTTTAGTTTTTCAAAATAGCGGCCTGATCAGCCTTCATTCTGAGACCAAACCTGGTGGGGCGATTCACTTGTGGGAGTACTTGACTCATTTTCACCTGATTATAATTTCACAGTTTGTTAACTATCAAGCAGTTATGGGTTTCTGAGAGGAGCAGGTGTTATAATGAAGGTTTTCTGTGGTAGTACGCATATTAGGCTAAAGAGCACATGGTTTGTAATGAGTGGAGGTTTGAACACAAGGGTTTGTTCTAAGTGTCTGATCATCTGTGGCATTGCTTATGTTATAGAGGAGTCATGTACTTCCTCATGATAGGAGTTCAGAGCGCAATGGAAACGTTTGCAATAATGCAGATGTTCCACGGCATTGCACATGTCAAGATGGAGTGACCGTGTAGTTCTTAATGGCAAAGGATTTGGGCACAATGCATTATTATGAATATTTGCTTATCTTCTGTGACATTGCTTAGGCTAAAATAGCGAGGGCACAATTTGTGGTAACGGCAGTCTTGGACACTGTGAATTAGAATAAAAAGTAGGTCTTCCGTGACATTGTTCATGTTAAGATGAAAGGACTTGCTTTGTCATAACAGGGATTTTGGCCAGAATGTACTATTAATGAAATTTGTTGGCCTGCTGTAGCATTGCTTGTTAAGATGAATGAGTTGCATCTTCTAATGCAGTATTGAGTACAATGCTTAGTTCTAAATGTTTGTGGATCTTCTTTGGCATTGCTCATGTTCAGACGGCGAGGGCATCTTTTTTCTAGCGGTAGGATCTTTTTCTCATCAGGCCTAAATAAAAATCCTTTATTATCAGGAGTAGTAAATCTTCCAAGATATTGATGACAGGTATTTGAATGCAGTTTATTTTTGAATGTGGTTTTCATAAAGCTCTGCGTTAGTTAGTAAGCTGCAGGAAATTTGCCCGGAACAGTTTAGGCTTAGAATTGAGTGTGACACTGGAAGCTGGAAACAATAATAACAGTAACAGAGGTGAGGAAATAATTTGCAATGCACTTGGGGCAATCAGAATGTGTTGTTTTCCTTTGTGGGATGAAAATGCACTAGTTCCAAATAATCTCTTGTAAAAGTAGATTACTCTGATCTTGATTGTGGTAATTTTAAATTGTGTATG